TTGCGATCAAAAGACATAAAGATATATTATTATGTGGTATTGTGAGTCTATAGTTGACTACACTATAGTGATAGTTGACTATTTTTTGTGGTAAAATTCTTAATAACCCATTTATTTACATATTAGCTGAAAATACTTCATTTTGTTTATCATAAAAAAATGACAGGGTTGTTTCACTATTTTTTACGGGTTTGTGAACTAGTAAATATTAAAAAATATCTTATGTCACGATGACCCTCACCAATTACTGATCCAGGATCATACATGCCTTTTTTGCATTTTGCTTTTTTCACCACTAATTACTCAGACCATGTCAGAAGAATTGTAATTAACTTTACTGTAATTAGAAACGTTCTCATTTTTTCGTACAATTTTGGTTTTATGTTTGAAATTGTTTTTTAAGAATCGTCACAGGCCGCTTGTCTGTTGTAGCTCAAGTCTACAAGACTTTACAACAAGACAGAGCAATTACTGATCTAAAATAAGCTTGGTCGATAAGGGATGATGTGCGAAGGTCGAGTTGCGTAACCGACCGCTGTGCGCATGTGCGACCGTGGGTATTTTGGTGCTCAGCTAGACACAGGCCCAGCCATCCCAACCCCACCCCCGCCCCACCCACCATGATGTGGGTCATCCCTTACTAGACCAGGGCTGGACATATACACCCTCTAATATGAGTCATCTCAGGGGGATGTATGACTAATATCCTTCAGAGGTGTTCACAAACTGCATCTGTGTAGTGTGAAGATGGTCGTGCATTAATTGCGCCAGAGAGTTCCTGAATTGCGCTAAGCCCTCAAAGGGTCCCAAAAATGTTTCTTAGTTGCGCCCAAAAGCTAGGTAGGGGTGAGTTGCTAGAAGAAGGAATTTGTTCTTGTTTGCATGTCATCCTAACCTATCCTAACCTAACCTAATCCAACCTAACTTAACCTAACCTAACCCAACCTAACCTATCCTGCTTGATTATACAATCAAAGAGGGCCGCGACTTGGTGTAGAACCTATTGGGTGGCTTCCTGGAGTATTGGGACCTCCTACACCTTATTAGGAATTGAAATAAATGTATAGAGGTCAATAGAAATGTTAGGTGGGGGATATGTGTAGGTTCTTTGGGCCCACAATATACCTATCCACACAAAACAATGGTTTTTCTTATGAACCAGCTCATACAATGCTTTAACACATTTTCGTGACGTATTTCTTTGCATACGTATAATGGAATATGATTTGTAATAACTATTAAATAGAGAAAATATGATAGTAAACGAAAAATGAAAACGCCAGTAATTTCAAGTGGAGGGCCAAATTAAATTTGAATTTACTACTACTATTACGAAGAGCATATTTAATATATTAGGATAAAAATAAAAATAAAATGTAAGTAATATTGTTGTTTGTTATAAATAGAAACAATATTACTAATTATAACAATATACATATTCATTAATTTACACATTTTGAATAACAGACAAAGTTTAAAAAAATTCTAGACTTCAGCTTAAAGGTCTTGAAACGATATAAAAATAAACATCACTAAATAAATATATATATAAAAGTTTTACTATGACCGACTTTAATGGAATTTACTTTTATATTTCACCTAGTTTTTATTAATTTTAACTATTGATGATACTTACTTAAAGGTTAGTATAACGAGTGCAGGGGTTGGACCAATCCCGTACAAGACCATTACAAATTTCAATGTTACACAAGCCAAAAAAACCTACAAGCATGTCAGTAAAATTTCACTAACTACATTAACAATCTTCAGACAATCTTTGACCATCAACAAGACAATCAGACAATCTTAGACAATGTTCTTTGACAATCTTCAGATTTGGTAACACCCACGACTTGGTGGTCAGAAATGAAATGTGTGATAAAAAGCGGGTTCATCGGAAACATAATTTTGACGCTTTGCATCATAGTGACGTTGACGGGGTTGTTACGAACGCATCACATTACGGGCAGCCTCGTCTGGGCCTAACTGGGACACTGTTTTTATTTAAGGCATCATTGATTTGAGCTCTGGACACGCCCAACTTTAGAAATCCTTTAGAAAAAACGTAGTTAAAATTTGAGGTTAGTTTTTAGAAATAACTGTGCAATGCAATATTCCTATTCATTCCACTTAAAGATACACAAATTGTTAAAAGTTAATTGATTGAAAACTCAGATCCTTATTACTCAATCTCTGTTGTTTTTCGATGTTAGTTGAAAACTAAATAAAATGCATTTCTAAAAGCGTTGGTGGATGTGCAACTTTTTTATACAACAAAATAATGTAAAGATCAAAATGTTTCTATTTTGTGTCCTCTTCCCGTCGCAAAGCACGGGTACAGCAGCTAGTTAACAATTAATTAGTAATATTACGAACCTTTGTTTATCTGTACATTGGTATAATCCACAAGTCTACAATGATTCTTACACGTACCATCTCTTTAGTAGTTCACACATACAAGAAACACATAATGTAACTACTGCACTTTGATGTAGGATTTGTAATGTTTGTCACGTATTAGTGAAACTTTCTAAACACGTTCTTAGGAACCTCTTTACATGACTTTCTTTTATAATTTAAAGTCGACTTTTCCTTGTTCAGTGGTAATTTAGTCAGTGTTCATGTAACTTATTAAAAGAAAAAACTTCTTACATAAAACGATTGGCTTAAAAAAGAATTATTGGTTTTATCGAATTTCTTGATATGGAAGTAGCTTTTACCGTAAGTGGCACGGTAAGACCTAGGCCCAGGACCGATATACTTTTTAATTTTAATGTCCCTCGAGGCCAAAAACACTATTCGTTCAAATTTTTATTTATACATCCGTGAACGCGATGACTTGAGTAATTTTGTCCGATTTTGATGAAATTTGGCTTGAAGGTGTAGGGCGAGATCAACTTCCGAGTTCACGAGTTATACTTTGTGAATGTGAGGCATTGTGTCTGGTTGTGCCTGGTTGGTCCATTTTATTTAAACTGCCAAACATGTAAAGGCGGAAACATTTTTACTACAGTGAAGTCAAGTAGACAATGCTAGTCCCAGACTACATGTACAGATGGTGTCCCCTTACTTTATCTTCCCTCTGTTCCCTCGGGATCTCCCGGACTTTCAAACTCAACCACACTCTGAAGGTTTAAACCTCTATGTTGTGGTTTAGCAGCACAAATGAGTTCTAATGGTTTAGCTCCGTAAAATAAATTCCTGTAGTGTAAGTTCACTCACTATACTATACAATGTTTAACTGTTTTAGTAGGCAAAATAATGTTTTACCTGACACGAGGGAAAACAAAGTATGATTTTCCTTATTCTTCAGTTTTAAATTATCTATCACATTTATATATTACTAGCAGAGCACCCGTCCTTCGTACGGGGTTGGCATATAAGTATAAAATGCTTATTGCAGTTATACTCAAGCTTTGCGTTTGCAATGGGGGAGGACACAGTTTGATAAAATTTGGTTCATAAATTTACGATATGATATAGTATAACACATCTACCATTGCCATAATGTTCTACCATTTCACCTAAACAATAGAAAAATAAATTATCAATCATTCGCACAATATCACAAATTATTCATTAAATTAAAAACTCAAACCTAACTGTAAACAATCCTACTTTTACAGTTCTCATTGTGTATCACAGCTTTTTGTTGCTGCTTAATTCAAATTAGCTGTTGTCATATATGCACAAACAAAATAATAATAGTGCTGCACCCTGTTGGGAAACCTTATAACTTTTAATGCTATTGCATATTATAGAACCAACTTGTAAAGTTGAAACAGCTGGGTAAATTCTTTAATTCCCTTTAAATATGAATACTCATAAGGTTAACATGGGGAACTACAGGACCACTGGGGCGGAGCCCGAAAGGATTTTTGAGATAAGAATATGCCTAAATGTTAATAGGGAATGTGAGCTATCATCATGCCAAATTTCAGCCCAATCCGTCAAGTAGTTTATGCGTGATTGAGCAACACACAAACATACACACAAACTCACAAACTTTCAGATTTATAATATTAGTAAGATACCTTGTTGTTATATTATTCTTAAAAATTTTCAAAAGGTATCATTTTGATAGTTTAAAACTGGGACCAGCTGACCTTGATATCTTATTAAGCCGCTAAAACAATTAAATCTTAGTATGTGATAAAGTATTAATAGTATATTTCGTACTTAGGGCCGAAAATGAGGGTTTGTCGGCTCGAGATAGTTTTTAAATTGATTGAGAGCTGCAAAACCATTTCGGTCCGTGGTACGAACGCTATTTTTCACCACACTATACCCTATTACCACTATTCACCACAATAATAATGCACACTGAGTCAACACAACTACAAATTTAAGGTTATATGAAGAAATAATTTGAGGAATCGGCAAAAATAAAAATAAATAGTTGCTAGGCAACGGTGACAATAAAACAATTCTATTGCAATGCTATGGATACTGAGGGTGTATTTAACATGCATTCACGTTTTAAGTAAGTAAACGGGCAGCTGATTTTGCGGCCCTAGGGATGTAAAAACCTGCTCGGTCCCCAAATGACGATGACAGCTGGCATGGCCAGCAAAACGTAACTTTCAGCCACCAATTAACATATGTAAAACATATGTAGTAGCTAAAAACATTATAGTGTTGTGAAAAAATCATGTATTCAAATTCATCTTAAAAAAAATATATATATATATATATATATACTTATGTTTGCTTGTACGTCTCAAAATAATAATAATAGTAATAGTTCAGTAAATTATTAGTATTATTATACTGTTTTTATAAATAACAGATAAGTCTAGTTTTGGAAGTACAATAAAGCATCATCAAGGCAATATCTTCTTTATGTATTGTACGTGAAGAAATTTAAACATATTAACTTTTGTACAGAAGAGTAATAAAATATGTAGTTTGTACATAATGTACATAGTGTTTAAAATTAAATGTACATCACAGTGTTTGCTAGTGGGTGTGTTAGAAGAAATACGTTCTTAAAACATGAGTTTTGTCTAAAAGTTTGTTTTTGAATCAATTCGAATAGTTAAAACATAATATACGTTACACACAAATGATGACACTAATGTTTCTAGCATCTTAAGGGTGAAAATAACCTAAGCAATTTATCACACTGATTGTCAACTCTTCAGTAAAAAGCCGGACGACAATTGCCGGACCAGTCCACCCTATAGCCAGGTGGACAATCCCTTACTGGGGAACGTATTATGAAGTCAGTCAGAGTTTGCAGTGTTATCCCCTGACTCGCAAGTGTTGGCATGGTACTCGTCGGAGTTTCAGCTCTACCTTGTTGTAGTTGCTTCTTGTCTTTATCTGGAGATACAACTAACCTCTCACTCTTGATAAAGTCGTCTGCGCTATCGTAATGTCCACCCTTTCTGCCTCCTTGGCTCTGATGGTTGGGACGTCGTGGATCATTTCGTTCATTCTTGATGAATTCACCAGTGTCCCTCTCGTTTGTGTGAACACCTTCACTGTGTTGGGGTTTGGCGGATTGTTGTTCGTGATTTATAAAGTCTGTGTTTACGCTATGTCGATGGTTCGCCTGATGATGGGAATTTTGATGATGTTGTGGCCGCTGATGTTGTGGAGGATGTTGTGCATGATGTGGGGGAGGTTGTTGAGGACGCTGGTGATGCTGAGGATGTTGAGTATGTTGTTCAGCGTTGATGAAATCTGTGTTGACGTTGCTGGCAGGATGGTTGCTGTGGGGTCTTCCCTCAGGGTGTGCGCCTCCAATACTGCCATGAATATTGTGCCCACTGCCATGTAGATTACGCCCACTGCTATGGATGTGCCCGCCTCGATCCTGTTGGCTTTGCTGATTATGTTTTTCACATCCTATATACTCACTTTCAAACATAAACAGTATTAAATAAACACAAAAACACCTAAATTCCCACATTTTACACTGCGTGTGTTATTCTATCACTTATCGAACTTAACTGGTGATCGGAGTCGTCAATGACACAAACAACATTAGATGATAAACGGGTATCGAAAGCGGGGTTTATCAATAGAGTTGTTGTGTGAGAGTAAATAAACTTATCAATGAAGCTGTTTCATAAAAGTGATATTCCAAGAAAGGTTATGATACAGTGACTTTCAATTTTGACTTATAAGCTTATGGTAAACAATTCAGTACTCAAGAAAATATATGTCAGGAAAACACAGAATAATTGTAGGGGATGATCAATATGCAACCAAATATCTCAAAACCATCCATAGTATAGGCCTACAACAAACAGTTAAGGCCACGGTTCAGCTTCGTGTTCTTCCATTTCCTTGTAGTAGCTGTAGACCACGACAACCACATATATTTGTGTAACTGAAATCAAATTTGAACAACATTGTTAGCAATACACACAACTCAAAACCTAGGGTATTCTGTTCACATTCAAGGTAAGCTAAGTAAAGGTTTGAAGTAAAATTCAATTAACTAAACAAAAGATGCAATAAGCAATTTAGACACTTCGTTATTTTTAAAACTTTTAGATTATCAGCCATAATATGTCGGATAATATATGGATAATTATGTCGGTGTATATATGGATTACCATTATTAGGTTAACATTATTAACCTCTTTTTATTTATTTAAAGCCTGGGGAAGTATTCAACAAAATCTTAAAAACTGAATAGCCTAGCCTTATAGACCGAAAATACCCCAAAGATTTTTTTGTATGGATCCACAAACAAAATTTGAAGGGCAAGTCCTTAATCAAAAGGCTTAATATTTCAAAATAAGGGCATTTTAAAAACAATATTGGAGGCAGAGATTATTGGAGAATTAATTACGATTGTTCATGAATCTGTGTCCCGAAAATCTTTATCTTTGAACAAAGCATGATTTTTTATATTCCTAAACGTTAACATTTTTTTCTAAATCTTTCACGCAACATCCTGATACACAATCAAACACCCGATACAATTTCAAAGCCTTATAAATCTTTCCCTTTACATTTTCCTAAATGTTGAGTAGCTTTTAGGATGAAAAATATATGATCGATATGTATGCCTATGATACTATCTATCGATACTGAATGAAAGGGATATTTTTTTTATTAATACTCACATATTCCACATATTTCCCACATGATAAAATGAAATGTGAAGGCTGCGTAGAAGAGCAGAACAATCAACATGATAATTTTACTAACAATCAATGTTGCATGCAGAAAGATGTAGAAGTGTACGGTTGTTCTGTCGTACTGGAAATATTTCAGATGTATTAAAATAATATTTATGTAAACACTTTAACCCAGGTAAAAAATTTGGTTTGTACTTCATAAATTCGTGTAACTTCATATTTATACTGTAAGTTTTCATGTTAAATAATTGCATACGTCTAACGGGGTCAAAAATAAATATGAGAACATTTATATAATACAATGAATGTAACAATAAATACAGGGTGTTCAAAAAAGGTGGGGACATATTTTACGTAGTGATTCCATGGGTCAAAATAAAGAGAAAATCAAGAACAACAATTTTTTCCAAAATCGCTTTGTTAACCAGATATCTGACATTTTGTATTTTTTACATAAACATTTTTATTTTGGAATTTTTTCAACCGATCTTTATGAAACTTGGTATTTATGTTAAGGTAGAAGAGACCCTTGTTAGGAAAAGAATTTATCTTGATTCGACTTAAAATTTAAAAATGGCCATTTTAATTTTTTAAACTTAAATTACAAAAAATGGCTAAGTTTATGAAAAAATTTCAAGAATACTTTTATAAATTATATTGGAGATATTGGCAATTAATAATGAAATGTATAATTAAATTTACATAAATAAAATAAAATAATTATATATTGGCCTTGTTGAACTTGTAAATTAAATTATACATTTCATTAAGAATACTTTTATTTAGCAATTTTAATTCACAATCAAACGATCTCAAGTTCAAGAAGATCGAATAAGAAATAGCTGAAATATTAGAATTTTTAGTTGTAAAATGGGGCAAAACTGACTAGCTTAGCCTTTTTCAACCCCATTTACAACTAAAAATCGTAATATTTTAGCTATTTCTTCTTCGATCTTCTTAAAATTGGTATCGTTTGATAGGGAATTAAATATTCTAAATAAAAGTATCCTTGAAACCTTTTTATAACACCAGCCATTTTTCAGTAATTAAAGTTTAAAAAATTTAAATGGCCACCATTTTAAATTTTAAGTCCAATAAAGATGAATTTTTCCTAACCAAACTTGGAGAGTTGTAGATATAACACCCTGTTTCGTCACCACCTACAATTTTATACAATTAATCAAACAACTATGGATATGCATCGCCCATTTCTCGACGTACTCGCTCAATAAGGTTTACGTCATTGACTGATGTTGAGGGACGTCCACTACTAGGGACATCGTCAATGCTTTCACGGCCTTCACGAAACCGTTTGTGCTACTCATAAACTTGACTTTTCTTCATCGCCTCTTCAACAATAAGCATGAATTAACAATTCAATAGTTTCACTAGGTGGTTTTTCTTCTAAGTGAAGTACAGAACTTAATGTTCACTGTTACTGAAATGTCATCTTTCAATGCAGGTACAACGTAGACTTGCAGGCACACGAAAAGTGCTTACGGCTCGTCACCTATACATCCACTACCGAACCGATACGCCCTCCACAGAAGTCGTATCAACTACTGCAAGGCGAATTTCCCGCTGGCGATCGCACTAAATGTCTACAGAAATTTATTCCAAGATTTGTTTAAATGTTATATGTAAAAACGCAAGCAGTGTATTTTTCGAGAGTCCGCATTTGGTGGTACTATTATATGAACAGCAGAACTAACGAAAAAACAATTTTGAGTAACAAATGACAAATGAGTAACTAAGACATTTCTTACCGTATACACGCCATAAAGAAGTGCTATGGCCACCAATACTTCCAAGAACATTAAGGTAATGTTGGAACTGATATCATTGGCGGGTGCTAAAAAATTCAGAATGAGTCAAATGTAATAAATATTTAGTAAAATGACCTATCTAATTGTTAGCTTAGTTATAAACTCAACGTTCTTGTAAATATAATTATTTGTTACAAGCTTTGCCTTCATATTGTACAATGGGACACGTTAAAATTGTCATAAATATAAAGTAATTTTCAAACCCAAACGAAGGCTTATGGTTCATAACAACAAACCTGTTATAAATGCACTAATTATATGTTTTATTAAATAAGATGAAATCACTTCAAGAGCGATACAGTTTACACAAACGGCTGTAACAAAATTTATTTAACTACTTGTCGTCTAACTAAAGAATTTTAACTTCAAAGAAAAATGTACTCATGATGTCATCGAATCATGCAGATTATGCTATACGATATCAAGAATAGTTCGCACAACACGTAAGTTGAAACGTGTGTTATGGCGACAAAAGTTAGGTAGTGGTACATATTTTAAATATATCAATAAAATTACTTACAATCTAGTTGAATTTGTTGTCCTGTAGACATCACTGTAATTTTTGCAGCTACGTCAAAAATTCCGAACACCTGAAAAATTTTAAATGTAAGTTTTACGACAATAAATAATATTTATTAGTAGCCTCATGAAACATAAATTATTATTCAATTAAAATCATAGTATGCCCTGCCAGATCACATGTAGCTAAGCCAACACTCAGCTTTTTTGCTGGTATAAAACCTCTATTGGAACACAAAAAAAGCTATCCAAAACCATGCCATACATCTCGTTCTAGTAATGAATTATGAGTATGGTTTTTAAACGTGAGTTAATGGGAAAAAACTAATTTTTAAAAGTAAAACGTCACTCATTTCATACCAAACACACAAGGTTAGGCTAGGTTAGGTTGAAAACTAAACATTTCTAAATAAAGTAAATAATTTAATGTATCAATCACCTAACCTAACCTAAAATAATCTGGTTTGGTGGATATAACGGAAAAAACCCTGCTGGGGTCGGTGTAAAAGGAGAGTACCAAATAAACCTACAATAATTTAAAACCTAACTAATTATTACCACAAACCAAAGTGAAGTAAAAAATACCCCCGCCGCGGCAAACCTGCAGACTAAGCGAATTTCCATTTACCTGGCTGGATTTCTACAAAAATATACCCTGAAAATTGTCAGATTTATTTCCTATTATTTAAATAACATTAATTTTAATGAGTACCTAGATTTGCTGCTACAGGGAAGGTATTAAGGTGTGTTTTTATTTCAAATGTTGATAGCTTAGTATGAAATAAACAAAATTGCCAAATTTGATTAAAATATATCCATAAACAAGCAAAACTACATCAGTTTATTTATTCTCCATAAGAATGACATGGGAATTTTAAATTTAAAGTTTTTTAATTTTCTCCGTAACCGTTAGGCATACAACAACGCTTCAATATACTAAATTATTTCTTTTTTTAAGCTCTACAAAATGGTCTGGAAAGAAAGTGTGAAATGTTGTGTTTTTAGGGTAAAAAATGGGGAAAACCGATTTTTACCCCATAAAACCCCCCCTAAACCCCCGTTCCCATAGTCCGATCATACTGGTTCGCGATCTCGTTCGAATAAACGTAGATTTACACATTTCTACCAAATTTCATCAAAATCGGATCATTTTTGCTCAAGTTATCGAGCTAACGGGTGTGTCCCGAATATATGAATTTGAACGGAGGGTGTTTTTGGCCTCTGGGGACCTCAAAACGAAAAAGTAAATCGGTCCCGGGTCCAGTTCTTACAATGAGTACTACGGTAATAGCTTATTCCCTATATGGGAAATTCGTTAAAAAAAATATATATATATAGCAGTCTTTTAAAATCGAAAATAAATACAATCGTTTTAATTGGCTAATAGGTTTAGAAGTTTCATCCATTGTGATAGTCAGACTTTCACCCATGAATCTCGATAAGAGTACGTAATGTGTGGTTAGGCAAATAATCCACCAAGTTGTGTCGTCCAATTGCTTGTGTATTTTATCCAAACGATAAAAAGCGCATCGGCGAGTGCTTATGTCAAACAATTAAGTATAAACCTGTATAGAAACCATTGTTCATGAGCAATTACCCATTTTGTTTGTAATTGTTATTTACGACAAACTTTGTGTCAATACACTAAGTAACGTGTAAAACAGGGCTAGAACCTAGCGCCCTAGAATGTAACGGTGGAACATAGAAAAAGTGCTAATTTCACAAAACAGTAGCTATGTTTTGTGTATTAAGTTATGTGATTTTACATGCTGATACATATTACGTATATGATGTATATAATGTACAATATTGTTTTAGAGGTTGTTACGAATTGATCAAATGATTTCGTTAGCGTTATGTTGCAATCATGAGTTCAAAAGCTTAGATATTTGAGATGCACATAGTAATATGTCGAAAAAAGAAATTTTTATGTGGAAAAAACCTCGTCACGTAATTCAGTGGTATTTCAGACATTAGTACTAAGAGAAAAATGATCATCAACTATAATGAATATCTAAATACATAACAAGAACAAGCTTTAAATACATTTAGTTTTGTAAGATATTTTGAAAATATTGATAATTACCGTTTCCACCCATCCTATGATCAGAGCCCCAGTTCGTACGGAGAAACAGAAACAGCAGTTTGACGTTGTTACCATTTTAGAATATGAATACTGTAACATGAGGAAACATGGTTTATTATAGACATATCAATGAGCGTACCCTCTATAAAAACATAACCAACTTAAAATATATTGTAAACACGTTTTTCACTGATAAACATACAGCAACAAAAAATTGTTAAACGTTTAACTGTTGGACCACCTACGTATAAATAAGTATACAGAAATGATCTTGTAAAAAAATTCACACTGAACTAATTGAAGATTCTCAATACTGGAAATGCTAAGCAAATTACACATTTAGTTCCAAACGGAAAACCAGCTAATGTTTTGAATTATATTTACATGACTTTTACTCTTCCACTTATCAGAAGTACTGTATAAGTATTTTGGGTAGGATGAGCTATAAAAACTGTGTTACTCTGTTGTTGGTAGAATGAATTAGACCTAATTTTTAATATTATATACAGAGCACTCCCATGGCGCTCTTAAATTTGGTATCTTCGTCAGTCAAACCTTAGAACCAATTGGAACCAATCAAACTTGAAGGAAAGTTACTGGCATGTACGATTATGAAACTACAAACTGCGGTTTGAGTCAAGGCAAACAAACCATTAGTTACTAAAATCAGTAATTTGCCGTCTACATTGGTATTTCATAGGCCAGTAAGATAGCAGGTTCCTAACTAAAATGGGTCAAATGGGTCATAATGCAATAGACAAAAGACAACACATTTATGGAAAATATTTACAAAGCAAACGATAGAAATACAAAGCGTTGGTTCTCCTATGGACAAAGCTTCGAAAGGTTTTGCTCCATATATTTAAAAAGCATATTGACAAAAAGTGAAAATGTAATCCATACAACAAATGTATAAGGGTCTAGTATTAAAAATCAACCCTTAAACAGTAAATTCCAACTTTACAGCAAACATTTGTGATACTTACCTTAAACTGAAATGTTTATCAACTGAATAACACTAACACCAACAATATAAGAAATGTTAATAAATCTTCGTGCGAAATCATACAGGTTTCCCTGGTTACCGAAATAACAAGGAAAAAGTAAACAAAAGACTTGTAATTTGTCTATCCACAGTATACTAGCAAAACAAAATACAGTACAAAAGGAAAAACATCAGTTGTTACTATTGAGCAAAGATTATACTGAAGATTACTCGATTCTATAGTCAAGGGTAGCAGTGTGGAGTGTGGGATTTGTTTATGACGATTAGATTACGGTATCTGCAATCCTTAAATGCTATGGAAAGGGAGGAAATAGGTCCACGACATAGGAAGTGGTGAAGGAAGTAGTAAAGGCGAGCAGTCTGGAGTGTGGGAACTGTTTTTAAGGTAATCTGCAATCCCAAAATGTAATGGGAAGGGAGGAAAACAGGTCCATGACGTAGGAAATGAGGAAGGAAGTTGTAAGGCTAGCAGTGCAGAGTGTGGGAACCGTCTGCAGCATTTATGTATCTGCAATTCTAAAATAGTATAAGGAAGGAGGGCAAACAGGTCTACGACATAGGGAGTCGTGAAGGAAGTAGTAAGGGTGAGCAGTCCGGAGTGTGGGATTTGTTAATAACGATTAGATCAAGTTATCTACAATCCTAAAATGCTATGGGAAGGGAGGGAATCAGGTCCGCGACGTAGGAAGTGGTGAAGGAAGTAGTAAAGACGAGCAGTCTGGAGTGTAGAAACTGTTTATGACGATTAGATTAAGGAATCTACAATCCTAAAATGCTATGGGAATGGAGGGAAACAGGTCCGCGACGTAGGAAGTGGTGAAGGAAGTAGTAAAGGCGAGCAGTCTGGAGTGTGAAAACTGTTTATGACAATTACATTAAGGAATCTGCAATCCTAAAATGCTATGGGAAGGGAGGGAAACAGGTTCACGACGTAGGAAGTGGTGAAGGAAGTAGTAAAGGTGAGCAGTCAGGAGTGTGGGAACTGTTAATAACGATTAGATAAAGTTATCTACAATCCTAAAATGCTATGGGAAGGGAGGGAATCAGGTCCGCGACGTAGGAAGTGGTGAAGGAAGTAGTAAAGGCGAGCAGTCTGGAGTGTGGAAACTGTTTATGATGATTAGATTAAGGAATCTACAATCCTAAAATCGTATGGGAAGGGATGGAAAGAGGTCTGCGACATAGGAAGTGGTGAAGGAAGTAGTAAAGGTGAGCAGTCCGGAGTGTGGGAAATGTTTATGACGATTAGATTAAGGTATCTACAATGCTAAAATGCTATGGGAATGGAGGGAAACAGGTCTGTGATGTAGGAAGAGGTGAAGGAAGTAGTAAAGGCAAGCAGCCCGGAGTGTTGGAACTGTTAATGACGATTAGATTAGTGAATCTGCAATCCTAAAATGCCATTGGAAGGGAGAGAAACAGGTCCGCGACGTAGGAAGTGGTGAAGGAAGTAGTAATGCTAGCAGTGCAGAGTGTGGGAACTGTCTGTGGCGTTTATGTATCTGCAATTCTAAAATGGTATAGGGAAGGAGGGAAAACAGGTCCACGACGTAGGGAGTGGTAAAGTAAGTAGTGAAGGTGAGCAGTGTGGAGATTGGGAATGGTAATGTATCTGCAATACTTTTCAGAGTAAACTAATAATTTTTCCCGAGCAAAGCTCGGTCCCCAGGTACTATATATATATATATATATATATATAAAGATTTATATGTGTGTGTGAGTGTGTCCGTTACCGTTAGCACAATAACTCGAGCAAAAATGATTCGATTTTGATGAAATTTGGTATAAACGTGTAAACCTACATTTATTCGAACCAGCATGATCGGACTATTGGAACGGGGGCTTATGGGGGGTTTTATGGGGTGAAAATAGGTTTTTCCATTTGTGACCCTAAAAACACAAAATTTCACAATTTCTTTCCAAACCATTTTCTAGAACTTAAAAAAAACTAACAATTTAGTATATTGAAGCGTTATTGTTCACCTAATGGTTACGGAGAAAATAAAAAAAAATTAAATTTCAAATTCCCATGTTATTCTTATGGGGAATAAGTCAACTGTTGTAGTTTGCTTGTTTATTTACTCTTTAGGTTTTACGTAAATTCAGCTAACTGCGATAGATAGAGTGAAGCTATTAAAATCTTTGTTAAATGAAGGGAGGATAAATAATAAGTATGACGATTGTGTACCTTAAAAAGGTTGTTGGTGAATTTTTTTAATGCAATATTTTGTGTCTTTTCATAGGCTTTAGGTTGCCCAAAAGGTATTTTAGGAGTCTTACAATTATTTCTTGTTCATAAGTTTTGATCATTGTAAAGCCTGTTTCACTATATGGGGAAAGGATTTCTTATAATTAGTCTGTAATTTTACGGAAAGAGTCAATATTACGAATAACTGGTTTCATCTGCTTTAGGAACATCATTCAGATCGTATTTGGATTATATAAGTGAATCTTTCTTTGGTCATAAAAATAGAGAATTTTATCAGCGGAAGGCATTAAATTAGTTTTTTTTTATTTGATAAAAAAATATCTGATTCTCTAGAAAGCAGTAACTTTTACTCCATACATCTTGAGTCAGCCTGATTTTTCCTAGATCACCCTCATGCTCTGTCTGTCTTGTAAAGTAGTTTCTTTTTTGATGCATGTGACTATTGTAAAAATAACTGTAATTTCAAATTCCCCTTTTGGGTAAGTAAATTTTAAATACCTATTATATTTGCCTTTCTAAACCTAATCCTCGTAAAATATTTAAAATTTAACGTTTCGTAACCCATTTGTTTGAATTTGCCCATTTGTTTGAATTTGGTGAATGAGGAGCGATCTGGTCAAAAGGGTTGAGCGTTGTTTCGGTCCCAAAGTTATCAGGTTCAAATCCAACCTATTACCAATGGATCTTATCCGTGTGATAATGCCATGACCGTTTAGGCCTAGCCTGAATGTGTAAAACGGTTTTGAGAGCTAAGTGTCCTAAGATATCAGTCCGAGAACGAAAAAATGTAAAAAATAAAATAAACAAAACGTAATTGACATATGTGTTAAGTCACTGATTTTGGCGATTATTAATGACTACGACCCAACTAATAACGTGGTTCCTAAGACTTGTTCCCCGTTCAAAACCAATCACCAGCTCGTCTATTGACAAGAGCTGATGAACATCTCATTACACCGGAAACAGGGAAAACGCCATCTCCTATTTTGCACATCCTTTTTTGCTTGCCCCTATGCAAAGTATTAAAGCTGTAAGTGATAAACATAATCCCACCAGAGACGCGCTGAGTGAGATGAAATGCAATTTCGGATCCCCAAAGCCTCGACTCGGCCCATTTACCACAAAGCAATGACGTTTGTTATTGTGTTGGGAACACAAAGAGGTCCCAGCTGACCTACATACAGTAGTTGCACTTCAGCTGCAGTTGGTGATGACCTACTTGCTGCAGCCCAAATGTCACCCTGACATCTACATGTTACTTTGGGAGTAAAGAAATACCTCTACTTTTGAAATGTAGTATGGGTCTTCAGGAATAAAGTATATGGAATACCACTATACAAACTTGAAGCACTATTTTCAAACTTATGTATGTGTACCGAGAAGGATTATAAATAATTTATTGTTGAACAGAGGTTGGCGTTATTTTACTCAAATAAAAGACGTTTTACCTTTGACGAAATTGCTTTACAAAATCATTGAATTAATTTGGTAAACGATTGCGTCTTTAAATTCGTTGACTAGGCAGTATATTTTAATATGCTAGTGCCTTCAAAATTTAACGAAAAAAATCAACTCCTGGATTTTAATTAATTTTAAAGCAACTTTCAGTAAAATTGAAATTTTAATTTTGATATAAGAAATAGCTAAAAGTTAATTACAAATTTCTGAAAACAATCACCTTTCGATGACAAATGTCAGTCATCAGTGAAGGTAAAGAATTGTTAAAAATAAGACACAGCTTTTTAGAAAGCTTAAAAACTATTCTAAACATAAACAAATATTGTGACACACGAATGATCTACCTACCAATAGTGTAGAAAAATACAGATACTGTATACATCTATCTAGTTTCACATACTTTGTCTAGTGTCCATCGTTTGTGATGGTTAGTTTACATTATTTAAGAGATTATATTGCTAACATTTGTTATCACTATTCAAATTCATAATAATTTAAGATGGAGAAGCCACCTATGCGCGTATTTATACCCAAATATAAGTGAAGGATGGGTGGAGGGGAGAATGTAGTGTGATGCCTTGTGTTTTGTAACTGACTAAGATCAGCTGTTTCATTAGACAGGACCATTTATTTAAAGCCCAAAGATCAAGGACAGCTGGGTCCAGTTTGGAAACATCAAAAAGCTACACACTTTTCTCAGGATCGAACTGACAACCTTATGATTCTACAGCATGTGTGCTTTTGGTGAAACACAAAGTTTCTACGACTATCCGGGTTCTGGAATCTGATCCCATACTTGTTTACCTGAAACGGGAATAGATTTCAGATCCTGAAACTTCGTGGAAACTGTGATGAAAAAAAAAACACATTATAATCTCTTGAATAAAAAAATATCATGTGTTACGTACATCACACTACCTGACTACCAGATCGAGATTAGTATCGTACCTCATCACTGCATTGCCACCGTATGACGTGCAGTGCATATCCAAGGTCTTAATTAACAGAGGCAATGAGGAAGATGCGTTGCGTTTGCCCGGGCGGCGGACGCTAGGGGGTGGGTGCTGAGCTAGACTGCTGACGCGCTGACCCAGTTATCCACCCCCACCCCTTCCCTGGCCACGTGGCCTCGTCTGTGCTGTGGTCGGTGCATCCAGACATTTAGAACCGCTGGGTAATTAATCTTGTCCCATTCTTGTCTGCGGCTGTGGTCCATTGGTATGATGGGCCACGTTCACATCGCTGCAGTGTGATTGAGAGTCATACATAAAAAAAACTTTATTCTATATTACTACGATATTGATATTTGTGTATGTATTTCTATGATATTTTTTACATAAGATTAAAAATGTAAAAATGCTGAGTAGCTGAGAGGATGGA